TTTGCTGTCTGTGTATTTCACCATGTAATACTAAATCTTAACTAGGGCACATAACAACTCACTTGAAAAATTCCAATCTGCCTCCAGTAGAACTTCTGTGAAGTACTTCACCTAGTCCTCCAACTTCAGTGACACCTTTGATGAAAACGATCGCAATGCAAGCGGACATCAGCCCAGACTGAAACACATCAGTCCACAGGACAGCTTTCAACCCACCCTGTGAAAGAAGAAAAGAAGATATTCATAATAAGTACATTAATAGATGTGGCTAAGACGTTAATAGATGAAGAAGTTTTAAACAGTATTTAACATTTATTTGATATGAGGAATATATCCAACTGCAAAAATATTTAATACTGCAAACTCTTTAAGAGGGAAGCTTCATGGAAAAAATTACAATCATTCAAAAGAGTAAGTTTATATATTTCTAAAAGAGGGTAAGGAGCCTGTGACTATCCAGGCCCTTAAATGGAATGTTTCATTGAATCCAGATTTTAAGGATCAAACTTTGTATTTTTATAAATCAATTTTTTTCTTTCGCATTTTTGTTTAATTCCTAAAATGGAAGTATTTATAGCGTCAAACAATAAAATAAGCATCAATGAAATAATCTATAGAAAATGATCACCAAAATATAAACATTGATAAGCCACAAGTCACACTGACTCCGATGCTACGTTGTTGCCTCCGATGCTACGTTGCTCCAAGAGCTACGTTGACTCTGATGTCCAACTTTAAACCTTCCCACTTCAGGTCTTTTGAAGGTGGCATCAAAAGTCAGGCCACTTTGGTCTTTGCTTTCCTTGTACAAGTGTTTGAAATATGAATATGAAAAATCCAACTATTTCGTATCCTCACCTCACACATACACTACATTCATTTAATGGAGAGAATAGTAGGGTCTTTGAAGACGGCGACAAATGTTTGCTTGCGAACCTTGCATAATCTTTACTCATCAATAAAATCTGAGATATTTTTCATTCACGGCAACATGCATGTAGTAAGTGACAAAATTATGTAATTATAAATTAAAATCACGAGGAAAATATGCTTACGAAAAAATATGCATTGTTGAATGGAAAAGGTAAGGAGGTAATTCATTTTCAACCTATCTTGCTTACTTCCTTGGGAAATGCCTGAAATAAGAAAAGCTAATCTGGGAAAACCGGAAGCAGCACGTAACTACACTAAGCATTTAGTTGCTTATGGTTCAGTTCTTATATATTTTTATGCCATTACAGGGGACGGCTTCATTATGGAGCCATATTTTCAGTTTTCTGTCTTGATTAATTCCCCCCCCCGGGGGTTGACTCAGGAGAATTCCTGGGAAGTACTGGTTAGGATCTGTACCTAGGCAGTCTCAACCACGGGGGCACACAAACAGTCTCACGGACTAGAACGAGTATTGTACTTAGGTTGGTTCGGCTTGGCAAGGACCCTACTGGTACTGTCGGTTGTTCTCTGGCTGTGGTGGAGCTATATTGTTTTTAGATATTAGTGGCCTTCTCGATGGGGGTTCAGCCCTCAGAGTCCCAGTGACGGGGACTGACATAGTAAGGCAGGACACCAATTCGACGAACGATGCTGAGGGAGTGGTGCCCCGAAGCAAAGCAGTCTTAGCGTTTTTTTTAGTCACAGTGATTTTCTTCTTCTTCGTCCTGCTGAGGCTGTGTATAAAGATGGACAGGGACTGTGGGGCCTGCGCCGTCACTGAGGTGTTCGCCGTGGCCCGGATAATTTCAACCTCGTATGGCTGATTTAAAACTACCGGGGCGAGGGTTCTGGTCATGGAGTTCTGTCTTGATTAATATAAAAATGTTACATATAATGTTTTGTGTCTTGGCGAGCAATGGTCTATTTGCATGACGTTACAAGTACTTTTATGAGGGGGCACTTTTTTGCATCGGCCCCCATTAGGAAACCGAAATTTGTTGGCGAGAGTCTCTGCGGGTTCAAAAAGTATAACCTGAAGGAGAAATAGGACTTCAGGTGCTGCGGGTTAAGTACGCTATTAATACTCCTAATTTTTGACAACGGGGCATTATTTTTGTGTTGCTATCTTCCAATAATGAGGCTTTCTAATATGAAAACATTCTTTCTTCTCTAAAATTTAGTCATTATGAAGAACTCTTATTTGAAATCAAAAGTCACTTTTTGCTCATAAAGAATACACTGTACCATACAAGGTGATAATGATTGCGCTTTTGTGAGACATTGCATTAACACAATGAACATTCGGAAAGTTTTCTTAGGAACAGTTACAGAAAATCACGTTGAATCTTTATTATTAATATTTTGGTTGAATGAATGACTTCGACTCTGCTGTCATTTCTTGCAAAAAATCATAGACCTTTTAATGCCTAAAATCAAGTAAAAAATATCTTGAGGAAAGTGTCAAAAAACTGCATGAATTTTACATGTTCATGAATAATAACAAAGGTCAAATAAAAAAGTCAGAATCTGAATTCTAATTTTATAACTATTAGAACTTAGCATTCAAGGTTTCAACTAATTTAAATATAAATTTATAAAATCTGATGTGTACACCACATCATTCCCTTGCACGGAATATTAAATTATACGTATTCTTGAATTTCATTAGAGATATATTTCTCATTTCATTAATTTCAGTCTCTTGAACCAGGCAAAAACATAAAATCAAATATTTTTCTTTAAAATTGAAAAATACAAAAAACATAAAACAACATAAACATACAGTTTTAGCACTTCCAAAAACCAGTAATGCACCCAGAAAGAGGGTCGGTGCCAAACAGTTTCCTTTGAGCCCATCGGCACAAAACGGCCGAAGGGCAGAACACGACTCTTATTATGCACTGCTGCTAGGTAAACAAATATGTTGCTATGGTAAAAAGAATAGGCTTAGTCTCACTTAAATAACTTTTAAATTGTTAACAATTCAACAACTATTGCATGCAAATTAACTAACGGCATGAAAACTTTAACCGGAAGATAAGAACAACATAATTCAATCATTTTAAAAGCAAAAAATGTACAATTTTCTAACGTATAAGAATAAAAAACTGAGTTCACTGAGCCGAGTAACAGGGTGAGTATACTTATATATTTTTGGTGCGGCCGATTGCAACTGAAAAGGGAACGTGCACAATTATATTTTATAGCAGTTTTATTACAAAATTTCAAAGTCCTGAGGCTACTCGTTTATGAATTATTTGAGATACATACATAGGTACGTACGCACAGACACCACGAAAAAAACCTCGTCTGAATCCATTTTAAATAAGTTTTATAATTCGTTTGAGGAAAAGAGTCTTTTATTCTGTCCTTACGTACAGATGTCACGCAAAAAACCTCGTTAAACCTCGTTAAATTGTCACGCAAAAACCTCGTTAAATATTAAATAAATAAAAAAAAAGTTAAATTGCATTTAATAGTAGTCAAAATTGATATTTTCGTTGAAATATGATACCTGGGAACTTTTCGTGATTACAATACTTCCTTTACTTCGTACAAGGAATAATTAAATCTGCAACGACTGTTTCTTACTGCATTTAAATGACTTCAAGAATTTCTATAGTATGCTTCTACATCTGTGTCGTTAACGATGCTTTCCAGTTTATTGCATATACATAACATGATACCCGGAATTTTTCGTGATTACAATAATTCCTTTATTTTGTACAAGGAAGCAAAAACCGAAATTTTTAGCTACGATTCAAAATTTTCATGCCTTTTAATATTAAATTATGAGTAATAACGATTTAGAAATAAATAACGATTTAGAAATACATTTACGAATTAAATTATTAAGAATGCAAAATTATTAGTATTCGTAATAATGTTATTACGAATGCAAAATAATTTGTATTTTTAAACTGCTTGCTAAGTACCGGAATTTGCAATCTTTCTGTTGGAGCTGGTATTGATATAATTACACTCATAATTTTAAATAGATTTGATATTGGATTTAAATAAATTTTTATGACTCAATATGCCATTTTATTTTTTTTAAAGGTTATGCAATTCGTTCCATTTTATTCTAAAGAAATCTGAAGTTTTTGTCATGTGGCAACGATTCAGACTTAATTTGTCACAATTATCGTGCCCCCCCCCAAAAAAAAAACTTTCGAAAACGTAACCTTTTTTAAATTGAGGAAATAGTAACAGATCAAAAATGACATTTTTATAAAACAAGCTTAAAACTAATAAAATAGTTAATGAACTGAAAGGAAAGAATAATTTAACATAAAGTTCAATAGAAACAAGAGATTAAACAATTGTCTTCAGAAAATTCTACAAGTTTATGACAGGAATAATAAAAGTGTGTGACGCGCTTGATAAACTCATAATGATAATGGCTTCTACTTTTGACAATGCAATTAGATTACAGTAGGCATCACTTAATGTGATTGTCCATGACTGCTTTGTTAGCATTAACCAAATGACAACATTAAGCAATGAAAAAAATATCCTTCAAAATATTAATGGAATTTAATACAAATATAAATAGAAACATATAAATACTTAATTTCACAGCATTTTAATTAAGAAAAAAGTCATTAATAGTTGATTGTCTGCAAATGTTATGCTAAAGTTCAATTATGAACTGTTTATATTCATAATATTACTGGAAATTATTTGATCGATGCTGTACCCCTAATTTTAATAGCTGTCATCTTAGCAATTATAGGAAATTCTCCGAATTCATCAATATTTTCTTTAGAAAGTTTATCACATAAGGCTTGGCTTTCTTTCATAAAGCAACTGGCGGTTATTTTCTTGTCACTGATGATGCAACTTGTGGTTTTTTTTTTTATTATTATTATTAAAGCTTTAAATTCCTCATAATTCATGCTATTTGGATCAGGCGACTTTTAGGTGCACCTAACGTACATATGTTGGTGGGCGAAATTCAGTGTCAAAAATCGCATTAAGTGCAACACCATAAACAGAAGAGACACGACTATATTGTAAGTAATAAAAACTTTGTGCATGAAATGTATATTTTGTTTCTATTTCGATCTATTTTTTCGATCTTCTTTATGAAAGCACGTTTTTACGGGCTAGCGTTAACTAGTAATGTGATAATATCGCCAAGGGATGGCCTGAATATCACCCGAGACGGAAATATTATGTGGTACCCGCTTCGCTTTATGAAACTGCCTTGTGTGTCCCAGCACAAAAAAAGATCACTGATCCACAGTATCAAGAGGTTTTAAAAAGTTTCACTAAAAATAGAAATAACGTTAAAAATTTCACATTAATGTTATTTAAAAGACTTTCAACTGTATCCGATTATGTAAACAGTAAAATTCGAAGATTGTTTTGTTCGTTCCTATCAAAGAAGATACGTATATGCGACGAATTAATCAAAGAAGATTATGCGACGAATCGTTTGAACGTTATATTGAAAATAATATTAAATCAAATAAAAAAATAGCTTCGTCACCTTATATTGTCATCCAAAACAGTGAACGTGCAAATTTTGAGTTTGATAACTTATCATCAGGAGACAGACAAATACCATGAATAAGCTACTTAAAATGTTATACATATATTCCTGCATTTAATTTTCAATCTGCATTTATCATATATATATATGCAATGAACTGTAGTCATTTAAATGCAGTAAGAAATAATTGTTGGAGATTTAACTATTCCTTTTTACTTCCTTGTACCAAGTAAAGGGATTATCGCCAAAATTTTAAGGTGTCATATTTCAACGAAAATACCCATTTTGACCACTATCAAATACAACTAAAAGATGTTTTTGCGTGACATCTATACGTAAGGACAGAATAAAGGGCTCTCTTTCCCAAATCGGGTTGCAAAAAATGGTTTGAAACCGATTTAGAAGAGATTTTATAGTGACGTATGTATATGTTACCGTGAAAGACCAAAACTGGAGAATGTCGACTTTCACCGGAAAATATCAACATTCACCAAATACGTCGGTAAAAGACCGAATATTTCACTACATTCTTGTATATTCTGACCCTCACCGGTGTATGTCGACAATCACAGATATGCTCTGGTGAAAGTCGAAAAGAGAGGTCATAAAGTGCCATGATAGTTTAAGTTGTTGCAATAAATAAGATTTGAATCCCATAATTTAGTAAGTTTTTATTACTGTTATTTTATTTTCTCATTTAGAACTTACTTGTATAATTAAGTAAGTTTTTAACTTCTATTATTTTCCTTTCTCATTTTGAATGTATTGTGTGTTTTAGGTTCTCATGTTCTTAAGTTCTTATTTCAAGTTTCAAGTGCGTTTATTCGCGACTCAATTACGGAAAAGAAAATATAATATTGTTATATGTTCAACATTCACCATTAGTACATGGTGAATGTCGACATTGACCGGTGTAAGTCAGAAGTAAGAGTATTGGAAAAATATTTCGGACATACACCAAGAGACTATGTGAATGTTGACATTCACCAGTGAAAGTCGACATTCTCCAGATTTCGCTGTTTCACCGTAACATATATATGTACCTCGCATAACTCAAAATCGAGTAGCCTCAGAACATTGAAATTTTGTATATAGGACTGCTATATCATGTAACTGTGCATCTCTCTTTTTGGTTGCAATCGGCCGCACCAAAAGTACTTAAATATATACATACCCACTCTGTTATTCGGCTTCGTAAGCTTAGTTTTTGTTTGTTTGTTTGTTTGTTATTCTTATATTTTGATAAACTGTGCATTTTTTGCTTTAAAAATGATTGAATTATGTTGTTTTTCTGTTACGGTTAAGGTTTTTATGCTTTATAGTTGTAGAATTATCAACAATTTAAAAAGTTGTTTTAAGCTAAGCTTAATTTTTTTACCATAGCAGCCATATTGGTTTACATTTGAAACTTAGCAGAATAGTGATGCACCTTCAGTGCTTTTCTGCCAAGTAGGACCAAAAGGAAACTTTTAGTTTAGTGCACCGAGAAATCTGTTTTCTTGCACGATGAATGAATTGTTTGTTTTTGCGTTAGCCCAAAGGAGTAATTTGCCGAGAACAGTTATTAATTTCGTTTTTGCATTTTGCGTCTATTCGATTTTGAAATTCTTGAAAATAAAATGATCATGTGATCTCTGGCGATCGTGCGTTTGCAATCGTCTGATATCTTTTTCCTGGCAGGCCTTGTGATAAATGTTTAAGTTAGCAAATATTTAGAATTCGGAATGTAACAGTTATTTTTTGCTTACTAGGTTAGTTTATTCTTTATTCTTTTCCTCGGAGTACCTGATTAATTATACTTGGATTATATGTTAGTCTAATATATTTAAGTATCAAATGTGTTTTGAATAAAAATAAGAAAAACTTGGACAACATGGTCTTCATGCGAGAATCACGTTTATTCTTTAGTGTGATATGTTATTATTATTATGATATTGCTGTTGAATTGAATTTTATGGTTTAAGTGCGAAGAACATGATATTTAATAAATAAAGGTGACATGCAAAACGTGAAAAAAAGCCCTTTTGGGAGTAATATAAAATCTGAAAACTTTCAGATTTTTTTCTTTTTATATCTTTCTATATTTTTCAATTTTTAATAAAGATATTTTGATTTTTTATTACAGGATGTTTATAAAGTCCCGAACCCATTTTGATGTTTAATAACTCATAAAATAATAAAGATAGATTAAAATTAATAACGTAAATGGTTAGATAGACTCAAAAAGTTTCATGACCCTTGTCAATGAATTTCCACGCGTGCCCCCTTCGTCGCACGGAGAATATCAAGTCGATATTCAATTTCACTCCAGGTTCTGGCAAGCATGTCGGCATCCACAGAGGCTATTGCGGTTGTAATTCTGTCCTTTAGGTCATCAATGTTCGACACTCTTCTCCTGTAAACGTTGTCCTTTACAAATCCCCAAAGAAAAAAGTCCAGCGGCGTTATAGCAGGTGATCTGGGAGACCAAGGAACTGGACCTCCTCCCCCAATCCATCTTCCTGTAAAATGGTCATTCAAAAGAACTACAAACGATGGTTCTCCAATGAGGTGGTGCCCCATCTTGCTGCAATAAGACATGTGGCTGAAGCTCTTCTAGTTGTGGAAATACGAAGTTTTCCAACATGTCTAAGTATACGACTGATGAGACCGTCTTTTCTGTAAAAAAGAAAGGCCCAATGACTCGGTCGTGCATTGGTCCACACCGCACATTAACCTTTGGGGAATCCCTTTGTGCTTCACGGTATTCATAGTGGTTTTCAGATCCTCATATGCGCACATTATGGCGATTAACAAAGCCAGAAAAATGCCAAAAACAAAAGAGAGTAAAAATGCAATTAATAAGCAGACGATATTTAGAAAAGTACAGATATTTAGACTGGAAAATGAAATTATCTGAAATTAACCACACGCGCAGATGATATTTACAAAAGTAAACATATTCAAACCTGAAAAGGAAAATATATAAGTTATTCCATCAATAAATGCCATAAGTTTGTTTATATCTTCATTATTTTATGAGTTATTAAACATCAAAATGGGTCCGGGACTTTATAAACACTCTGTATTTTTGCCTTATCACAAAGGGAGAAGTGAATTAATTGAATACAAAATTTATCTCTAATGAAATTCGAGGAAATAAGTTTAAATGAAATTCAGCAAAATGATATTCCGTGCGAGGAAGTCACGTGGTGGTTACATCAGATTTTTTTAAAAATTGTAATATATATTTATGGCCGTAAATAACTTGAAACACTAATCGGGTCTGTTCCAGAACATTTACATTTGCATTTTTAATATTATTGCAATAAGAAGAGCGACAGCATCTCAATTCAAAATGAATAAACACCCTGTATTTTTGCCTTATCACAAAGGGAGAAGTGAATTAATTGAATACAAAATTTATCTCTAATGAAATTCGAGGAAATAAGTTTAAATGAAATTCAGCAAAATGATAGTCCGTGCGACGAAGTCACGTGGTGGTTACATCAGATTTTTTTAAAAATTGTAATATATATTTATGGCCGTAAATAACTTGAAACGCTAATCGGGTCTGTTCCAGAACATTTACATTTGCATTTTTAATATTATTGCAATAAGAAGAGCGACAGCATCTCAATTCAAAATGAATTAGCTTCGATTTCACTATCAATTTTTTTGACTAATAAATAGCTCTTTAAAATTATTATTGGCTGAAAGTTTATGTAAGTTATTTTCATCAGAGCATTATGTAAAATTCATATGACAACGGCTATTAATTTGGAAAAGTAATTAAAATTAAAAGTTAAGGGTCTATTATAGATTTTAAGTTTGAATTTTGATTTACATATTTTTAATGTTATATATCTATATACTGAAACTTTTCTAAGTTGACGTACATTATGGTGATGGAGCTACTGCACAAAGATGTAGTTTTGATCGTGGCCATTTGATATGGTTCTTTTTACTTTTGGAATAACATTTTTAAAATAGATATAGATCGGCTCAAAACTCGTGAGCTTTCTTCAATAATTGCATGACTGCCTTTAATATATTTATAGCAATATAATATAAGTAAGAGAGGTGACGGATGAAATTTCGGTAGTGGAGAGAACCGTGAAAAGAATGCATAGACTACGATATGGATTCTTGGTTACAAATATTTAAGTTATAGTTTTACTTTGTTTCTATCAATTGGTTAAAAGTTTTGGCTTGCAAATTTTGTATTGTTCTTCAATAAAAATTTTAGCTTTACTTTTGCAATTATGTAAAAAACTGCGCCATGATTGTTATATGAGAATTTTATGACAAAGATTAATTTTGAAAGGACGCAGCTTTTTAAGATTTACTATCAGAATGTTACTATTTATAGAACAGAGAGGGAAAACGGCCAAATTAAATAGAAGACTTAAAGATTTAGCACAAATTAAAGCTAGAATTTTATCTTATATATGTGTGTGTGTACAATCAAACATTGTTTTTACCTGATGGACTTTAATTAATTAAACCTAAATAAAAAATATTTTTTTAAAGACTTGCAGAATTTATATTTGCAATGCTTGCAGAAAATATTACATTTACAATAATACCGAATTCACGATTTTAGCAAATATTATGCAGGGTTGAACAAATTATATCTTTCAATCTTACTATTGAGCAATAAAGAGTGCACACCACGCCCATGAGTATGATTGACATCTCCGTCGACAAATCTGCAACAGCACTTAGGGCTAGGGCTGGAGCATACAATACGACAGATATGTATAACAACTAGAAGAAGAAAGAAAAAAAAATAATTTTGCATTTCTCTTATTATTATTGAATTAAGATTAAATTTTATTATTTTCAAATAAAATTTTAGTCTTCGAAAACGTACCGTCTGGACTATGAACAATGATGAGACGGTGTATCTAATGAACTTTCCATATCGCATCTCCAAATACTAAAATGAAAGTAAAAAACATGTTAGCATACTCACGTAGTGTACACATACAAACGCACGTACAGTAATAATAATTTAGCTGATTTTCATATATTACTTGTGCTAGGTTCTGGATATATATATTTCCTACCTAACGTGGAGGTGAACGTAATGTAGGCACTGCATATAACAGACATTAAACGGCACAAACACTTTATTAACACACAAACAAAACAAATAGTTAACACAAAAATAGAAACAGAACCAAACAGAACCACGTTTATCATTACTTTGGCATACAGCAGGTTGCTTTCTTTTACTCAGTCTCTTCTCTTCTAATGTAAGTCACGTGAGAGAGAGAGAGGCGTGCACGCCGTTCGGCTAAACTGCGCATGCGTGGTCATCACGTCATCACACTGATGATGATAGAAATGCATGAATATGTAGCCACGATCATGGCCCAGGAAACACATTTTATTTCTTGATGCAGACATACTAGTTAAAATGGGCGCAAAAAGTTCTAGAATAGTTACATCGGTACTCAAGGCTTAATTTCTAAAATTAGAAGTGCCGGAGCCCTATGGAAGACCGTCAACAAAAAGGAACAAGAGTAAATAAATAAATAAAATGACTATTAATAATAATTTTAAAATTAAATAGTTAATTACTATCAAATTAATTAATAGCTATTTAATTAATGTTCCTTAATTGTTATTTAATCAATAATTATTATATAATTAATTATTATAATTTAATTGTTCGTTATTAGATCGTTAATTAATTATTATTTATTGAAATAATTAAATCATTAAAGATTAAAGTAATTAAATATATTAAAATTAATTTAAATGTAAAGAAATCAATTAAAATCTAAAAAGCGATTTTTAATATAATTTTATTGCTAAAAATAAAATATTCGAGATAAAATTTCTACTGAAATTGTTATTCAATTACATAAAAGAAGTGCCGCAGCCTTCTCCAGCTAGAATTATGATCTATTAGGGCTCCGGTGCGCTCCAGCTAGAATTATGATTTGTTACAAAAACTAAGAAGTACCGGGCTCCGGCCTAATTTAAGCTCTGATCGTAGGGGGGGGAAGTTCTTTTATCATCACAAAAATGAAATATACTTATAGCTGATAGCTCATGAAATTCTGATAATCTAAAAACAGGGGGAAACAGAATGAAGGCATAAGCGGTATGAGTGGGTGGATGTAAAAAAAAAATGGGGGGAATCTTGGTGAGAGAGAACGTTTTCTTTGACCGCGGTTCTCTCTGCTGATATAATTATAGTCCATCAAGCGGATGTGTATGTCAGGGGTAAAATGAGTCCTGAATCTGACTCCTAAGGATGAATCTAAAGTTGCTGCAATAAATTTGGGGGACGCTTTTCGCCCCCCCCCCCCGTATCTGGTTACATTAGTGGATACTATATGGGAAGACGATGTATATAGGACGTGCTTGAGCAGTTTATCTCAGTATTTCACTCTTATTCTACTCGGCTGTCACTAAACGCACGTTTAAGAACACAAATTTTCCTTCCTGCGAGGATAACTAACTGTAAGCCATTCGATAACAATACACTAGATACGATGGCAAATTACGATGAAATTTACGCGTTCCTAAACAAACTCTCCCAAATTTATTGCTCTTATTAAAGGGTAAGGTTTTTGCATGTGAGTGAGGGGACTTTACTTGAACGTTTCATGTTCTCATGAGTTCGTATTTCTAGGGAAATAGAGTATTGCAAAGTCTGCTTATTGTTAAACTAAAACGTTACGGATTCTAATTTTTTCCCTTGAAATTGTGGCTCAGTTTTATAAAAAGAAGTACCGGAGCTTATCTTATTTAGGGCTCCGGTGAGCTCCGGCGCAATTTAAGCACTGTCGGTACTGTAAACATTATTACCATATTCTAAAAAACGGAATAGTAGCAGACAACAGCAAGCTAGTAGTATGCAGAAGGGAAGAAGAAATGCTTAGGCCATAATATGAAGACCTGGTTTAAAAGGGTTCAGGTGTAGTTCAATTTTATTTTTGATTATATGTTTCATTTGCAGATTGTAATATTATAACTGGCTGAAGTGTTATGTAAGTGCCTGCGTCTTTAGCGTTACGTAAGAATCTCGTGAGAAGAATTGCTTTCGAAATGAAGCAGTTTGGAAAGATTAATAAATGAGTTACCTTTTTTAGAACAGAAAGCCGAAATAAACTAATTAAATGGGAATTTTAATAAACTATTGCAAATTAAAGCTAATGTTTTATCTTACTTATTCTGAAGTAAAATTTATACAGCGAGGGTACCTCAGTTTAAGAGTACTGGATGTAATTAATTAAAAGTGAGGGAAAGAGCCAATTGGAAATTAATAGAAAAAAAATAGAATTTTCATTTGAAAATTTTCTGTTTTTTAAAAAAAATTAAGGATATTCTGCTGCAGAGGTGGCCAAATTTCTTCATGATTCTTGAAATTTCATGAACGATCGAGAGATGCAAGTCCAAATTTATATCGTTTCAAAAATAGTAAGGTAGGTTTTAAATATTAAGAAACTTTCGAAATAAATTAAGGAGAAATTTCGCATTTTATATGTGATTAACATGATTACATATAAATTGCTAATGCTTAATTTATGATAAGTTTGGGGACGCCAGGCACTTCGTCGATGAATATACGCTTATCCGGAGTGCAAGAGAGAAATATGACAGAAAGAATTTTAAAAGGAACTATTCAAATTTGAAAGATTTTTCAGAGACAATAATGAAGATTATAAATACCAACAAAGATAGAGTTGTAATTCGGCACTGAGACTCAGATTTTGGACTTTATATGATTTTTCCCCTTTATATTTGTTTTTTTTCTGGCCACTCCCATTTTTTGATCATACGGTCGGCTTGTGCCGGCTAGGAGGATCGGGGTTGTTCCCTTATAATAATAATAATAATAATAATAATAATAATAATGATTACATATAAATATAAATAAATAAATTTTAAATGTCCCTTTGTGTTCAGAAGAGTTAAGTCCAAGAAACTATAAATTAGTAACTCTTGTATTGGGCAACTGAGGGCAATCTTCCTTGAGAAAAACAAAATATTTTCTCCTAATTTTCTTTATTCGCTTCGTTTATAATTACTGTTGCTTGATTTTAATAAAAGTAAACTGAAATCAGAAGCATATGCATTGGTCTACAATTCTGTAAAAATTTTTTATTTGAGTAAATTTATAAAGTTACTATTATTTTTCATTACTAGTTATTTTATGTTTTGGATCTTTACTGTCTCTTCTTCCTTCCGTTTCCTCGCCAGAATGAAAATTAGACTGAGTATTTAAACTGAGGGTGTTAGATTCTAAAACAGAGCGTGTTTCTGACGATCAATGCCAATCATATTATTTGGTTTTGCGTTATAGTTACCGAAGTTTACATCGGTGCAAAGTTTGAGTTAAATCAACGGTGCAGGCTACTAGGCTTTATTTTAAATCTTGAATTTCACTATTACTTTAAAATACCCATTTAACTTAAAACTTTGTAATGATCAGTTTTACTAATGCCCAGTATATAAAAATTTATTTTTAAAAAAACGCGATTGTAATTTCAATGGCATCTGAATATCAGCATTGCTCATGACGATTCTGAGTACTACACTATTTCAGTGGGGCATCCAGAGAAAGCTGCAAGCATTTATCAAAGCTTTAAGCCATTTTTCAGATACAGTGTAAATCAAAACTAATGGTATAGAAAAGAAAACATACCTGCGACTACAGTAACATGCAGATATAACATGAAGCATGGCAAAGAATCTTTGAAGAGAAAATTTGAAATATTTAAAAGGATTACATTAATACTGATACATTATGGTCAAACAATTTTTTGGTATTGAAATTTTATAGGTCCATTACAGGAGGTCTCAAGCTTACCTCTGAATAAATCTTATCTCTATAATAAAGCTTACATAGGTCTCAAGCTTATTTTTGAATTCAAGACACTACTTTCTTCCCGTACAGGGAGGGTATATGTAGCTTTAACCTACCTTCTAGAATATTCACGAGAAAACCTTTAAAACTGCGTTCTAGAACGTTCTCGCTTCGTCTATGACAGATCGCTAATTTTGTTCTCAAATCTGACCAAATGGGCGATTTAGCGCCAAATCTGACAATCCTGCCACTTTCTGGTAACCCTAAGCCCGCTGTTGACTCACGCTGCTCAGCCGGCAAGCTTCTTTTTCGGCTGCCTTGGAGCATGGCCGTCGAGACCAACGAGATAGTATACTAGTTATATGCATGGTCGTTGGTCGAGACACCTCCTCGAAAGTCACGCCTGGAAGAGTTTCGTTTTCGACCCGCTTTTTGCGGGGAAGCTATCTTACCACGCAGCCACTGGGCATTTCGCAATAATAATATTTCTACTAAATCTACCTCAGCTTTTAGTGCAATGTTTTTTCAAGAAGTGGCTGGTTTGAGCTCATTTAATTTTGAGAACAAAGAACATGAGTGGTGCTGTAAGCATTAATTGAGACAAATACAGTGAATGATAGAGAGAAGTGAGCCGCTGCTGCTTGTTACCTGGAAGCAAACGAACAGGAAAGTGCACCATATTTCAGAAGAAAGCCTGGAAGAGAGTCAAAGGGTTATGATTTCAAAAAAGTTCAAATAAGATTTGATTTCAATTCAAATCTTATCCGCTAATTGGATAAAATGTATTTGCATTAGCAGAGTTATGTAAGAGCATATGAGGTGGATTAATTTGAAACGACACAGTTTAGATAGATATGTTATAGGCAGTTACTATTTTTAGGACAGAATGGGAAAATACCCAAATTAAAATGAAGAATATAAGGAGCAATTGCCAGCTAAAATTAGAAGTTTGCTTTGCATAATTTTTTACATTATGTATATGTATATATCATCAATCATGATGAGGGCACCTCTCCAAGAGGAAATTTTTTTAATGTCTATTTTAGGGTCATGTCGAAGCATATTACATCATGACAATTAATTTAATGAAAACATTTAAAAATTTTTAGTTTAAAGCGTTTTGAATGGAGTTTTATTTTTAACGTTCATTTTTATTTAAAGATATTTCAAGATTTTGCATTCATCTAGATATAATTCAGAAACGTGGCTCGGTTGAAAATTCTTCGGCTGCTCCTTGAAAATGATCAAGGAATTTTCAACAGTTAAGTATTTTATATATTATAATATACATATATAGTATTTTATATATCAATTAATTGTGTTTATTGATTTTGCTGAACTGTTTTTGTTTCTGTTTGGGAACAGTTTTGATTTTGATTTGAATGTTTCCTGTTGGAGAGTTCGTTTCATGGTTTCATTTTGATTTAATCATTTTCTCTTGATTAGTCAACTAATTTCTCAGCACACTGAGCGATTTTAATAATATATATCAGCTTAATTTGAAATTTATCAACTTATATATGTATATATGAATTGTTGCGTGCATTCGGGTTTGTATTAGATTGAATGCACACAGAACCGGTAAGACCTTAATTTATTTTACAAAAAGAAACACTTTACAGTTCTAGAACTTTCCACAATATTATTCGTGTAGCTCTTCTCACTATAACACAACACAATTAATAGTTACCACTTCAGACTATTAAAAAGTTAAAGAAAGTGCTATATAAAGCGCATCTAAAGAGCGAAGCTTGCAATACTCTCAATACTCTGAAGTCAAATCTGAACTAAAAACTGGGAAACTAATGCTCTCTTCGATCTTACATAGTCCCCCCCCCGACCTCCAAGAAATGTCTAGTACCTTCCATTTAACGAAATTACTGGAAGGTATATGAAGGCCGGACACGGTTACAGTTTTACATATAGGTATCAATTACAGTTATTCATTTACAATAGTACTTACCGTTACACAGGAACTGGACCACATTGTCGCCAAATGGTCACGTCTGGCGACTTTTAGCGATTTCTCGTCAAATTTGGCGACAAAAATTAGTCGTAAAAAACATCGTCAGCTTGGCGATATCTCACTAATTAAGCGAGACAGCCATTTATTCAATATTAAATACACTTTCCCCTGCACTCTTATTTTTTCGGTTATGTTTCGTTTTCTGTCAAGCATTTCATGGTACACTGTACACAAAAAAACTACTACAACGTCACATATAATTTCACTCAAATTATTCACATATATACGAAATTCGCAATAATATGCGTTTAGAATATTTTTTATTTTTTAAATACCTCATTAATATACAAACATTACAAAAAATTATCATTTCTATATCTAACTTCATTAATCTACAAACATTACGTAACGCGTAAATATTTGTACATTATTGAGATATTTCGAAAAGTTGGAAGTATGTTCTGTTATGCATTAATCTTCTGAATTTTTTTAGAAATGGGAAAATATAAACATGTATTAATGTATAAGAGAAACAAAAATCAAAAATTTTGTTTAATACATAGTAGTCTCTGCATCTTGAAAGGTTGTAAACATAAAGATAATAAGTATATAACCTAAATATAATAATCTGTTATAATAAGTTACTTATTTTTTGGAAAACTAAATGGTCCACGGCTCTGCTATATTAACAAATCTTACTCACTCCTTTCTAAAATCTTAGAATGCTTACCTCAATCTTTCAAATAATACTTTATGTATTGTTCGAACTTATTGAACTTATGCCTAATTTAGCCTTTCCTACATTAAGTTTTCTGGAAGTGATGTCAAAAGTCGTAACACTTCAGACCTTTTCTTTCCCACTGCAAGTGATAGGGATAAAAAATCATTGTGTTTCCAGATTCCCCTTCCCCAAACATTTATTCAGTACACAGACTAATTTTGCAAACGGTAGTTAAAGTTTGCTTGTGAGTTGTAATCTTTCTCATCTGTAAGATCTAAAATAATTTTTTATGATGACATGCGATTTTAAAATATAGCAAGCGCGGTAACATGAACATAATAAATGATAAATTATACTATTAAAAGCAGGACGTGTGAAATATACGCTGTTGAATGGAATAGCTAAAGGCCTGAAATCAACTTTAACTCATGTTGCGCATTCCCTCGAAAAAGGCCGAAATGAGACATTTTCAAGAAAGACTGATTTAGGAGAGCCAGAAGTGGGGCACAACAATTAAGAATGCAATATCAAGAAGCATTTGAAAAAGATAGTCTATTGGATCCATCCTTAATCTATTGCATTCTTTTATCACATGGCAAAAAGTACAAATGTAATGAAAATAAACTTACTTCATACACCGTAGTGATTCTCAAGTCAAAGTAGATGGGCAAAATGAGATAAGAAGCCAGAATTATTCCAGCAGTCATTCCCAGAGTTAGTAACACAATTTGAGTTCCATACCTGTAAACTTCTGCCGGTGCACCAAGCATCAGTATGGCAGACAAATTGGTAACGACGATTGATAGTACAACTGGGAATTTGGACATATTGTTACCGGCCATGAAGAAGTTCTGAGCAGTGTATCGTCTGCGTCCAGCATAATGAAACACCACTCCGATAGCGAAAGAGACGGCAAATGAACACATTATCACGGCGTAATCCCATATTCCAAGACTCTGGCGATGAACCGCCATATCTAAGAAGTCAAGATAATTGTGAAGTTACTGCAGATTTTGAAAACTACGCCTACTTCGTAGTATGCACATTTCTAATATTACTATTCATGCATTCTAATATACTATTAGGAGCATAAATAACTGCAATAAACCTTACATGATGTTGGCACCGAAACGACAATCGGTGGCCATTTAAACGACAGTTTAGTGACGTCATATTATCAGATTTAAAGCAGAGAGTTTAATGAAAAGAAAACTTTATTGCGCCATTAAAGTTAAATGCAGCAAATGACGCAACAGTAACTTAAGTCTCATGCGTCGAATTATGTCGTTTCTATTTGCCTACCATAAATGTATAAAAGCAGAGATTGGCAAAATCTTTGGAAAAACGGGAACAACTACCTTTTTTAAAATATTGTCAAAGATATCAAAGTTAATATTTTATGTATGTCATTCTTTAATGTGTCTTCGACAAACTTTATTAAATCAAATTTCATTTGCGTTGCAATGGCAAAATTGGAATTTCTGCCACTTCCTGAGACTACAAACATATATAGGTAACATTTTTATCTTCAGAAGGGTTATAAGACATTTTCATTTTCCCAATTGCGTGCCTTCGTAGCATAAGCGGTAGCACTTCGGACTAGAAATCGGAAAATTTCGAGTTTTAATCCAGCGAGAGCATAGCTGATTGTGTTCCTACTCGTTGAAAAGCGTAATTGAATCTACATGGTTTTGTTACAGTGTTTTCATACAGAAAGCAAAATCTGGCAAATGTTGTAGATTTTAAACGCTAGGATCTTTATGTCTGTACCAGTCACGTTAAATTTAATTAAATAATTAAGGTCAAATTAAAAATTAAAATTCTATCCAACACCACTGCAACTGTTTACCTAAATTGCAGCAAAATCTGTTCTGATAATAGAAAAACAAACATACCAGAGCAATCAAAACTTAAGCCAGCAGTAATACTAAGTTCATTGTAGCTTATAAACAAAAGTAGTCATAACGTTCTTTGCCACAAGCTAGTAATAAATGATGTAGTTGGAAAGTTATTAAATGCAGACCCATATAATTCGCTCTCCTAAAAATTCCTTCAGGTTCTGACCTATTTAAATCACTATTAAATCATCCCTTATTCCTCGAAGTTATTAAATAGATCACTTATTTCAATTATTGCTAACTATTCTGTAGTCTTTTTCTTTAAAATAGACACTTCAAGGACGTTAACAGCCTTTTCCTTTTGCGATCATAAAACGCATCACCATCATTGCCCTACACATATTTTTTCCACCTCATTCGAGACAAGGTCTAGTCAACCCTCATCGGCACGCTTTTCACGAAGCGAAACACTCTAAACGGAAAAAGAATGTGCACGTAGGGGGATTAGACGATTCGAGCCATCTGGCGCAATTGTCCTTTCCAATGGTTGCAAGGAAAGCCCAATAGTGGAAAACGACTCAGAAGCTCTCATTTTAGAGTAACACCATATAAGCATTTTACTGTTTTCAAAATTCGTAAAGCTAGCAATAACTTCCATAGTGTTACGAAATGTACAGGCGCGGTGAGATAGCTTCCTCGCAAAGCAGTTTTAGGGTTGCCATAAAATGGCAAGTGAAGGCAAAGTTGCCACATTTGGCGAGAAATCGCCCATTTGGCGACAAAATTGGCGATATACCATGGACGGATGGAGAACCTTCTGGAACGAATTCTTACCGGTTTAGCACAGAAAGTTCTCGAACACAAGCCGAAAGCTATATAAACCCTGCTGGTCCGCAGTCAGTTAGTGTGTCTCAGAGAGTGCGCCTCGTCTAGCGAGCCGTGCGGAGTCGATCGAGTTGACAGCCGGGCAACGAGTGCCGAGTGGGTCGTCGAGTGCACCGAAGGAATCGCTTAGTGTATCGCGGTTAGTGCATCGTCGAGAGAGCGTGTTGAGCTCCGGGAACGACTGAACCGAAAGTCGGGAGCTGTGTTCGTGTGTTGTCGAGTGCATCGTGAGTTGTAGCGTGGAGAGTCTCGAGAGTACGTGGAGTTCCGAGAACGACCAAGCAGAGTCAGGAGCTGTACTCTGGTGCTTTGCAGGAAGCTGTCTCCACCATTATTGCCTGACAGTGTGAAGGCTGTGTCGCTGATTGTTCCAGCGTATTTACAGTAGTTCATCGATGACTGTAAAACGTGTTTTGGAGCTGTCCTGACAATACTGACTAATAAAGTGTGTTTCGATACTTCATCAAGTGTCGTCGTTATTCAAAATCTACGAACGTGAAGGAAGGATATAACGTAATAACTGGTGTCAGAAGAACAAAAAACAAAACGTAAAAATATTATTGTTTCTAGTTTAGCAAATGCTTTATATCTATTACACCAGCGTTTCTCAAACTTTTGTCACTTTTATAAACTAGAATGTTCTACGGAATCACCTTAGTCTTCTTCTCTTGGAAAACAATTTTAGCATATATTGCTACTAGTATACTTATATTTTTTAAATAAAATTAATTAAAATTCCTTTAATTTTGCATGACTAATATATAATGAAATTAACAGAGTAAAATTTATATTTGTGTTGCGTGCGTACGGTTTTGTAATAGATTAAATGCACAATCCAATATAATGTTAATAAAATTTATTCTTATCAAAACAAATATAATAGAAAGTTGGATTTTTTCTCAGGGATATTCGTACATTATCGCAATATCACAAAATATAAGCATTAGCTATACTTGGAATATAAGCATTAGCTATACTTGGAATATAAGCGTTAGCTATACTTTTACTAAAACGTTAAACAGAACGTAATCCACAGTGCAGAGAAAGTTAATCCGATCAACAATAACAGCAGCAGTTAATGACAGCAGTTAACTCAACAATTGAGCTGAGATGTTTCTTCCCGGCTTTTTAAAGCATTCAATCAGTAACGAGAGAGTTCTAGTAATTTCTGCTTCTCGTGATTTCTGGAAAGAAAAAAGGGTAGAATTATCGCTACAGTTAACATAGTAGTCAATTACATTTATTCAATTTAAATGAAAATTACGAAATATCTATTTATTAAATGTTAAATGCACGTGTGCTCCTGTATTTTTAATTTTCCGACATAGCTTTCTCTTAAAATATGTCTCGTGCTGCGTTGCACGGGAAAACTAAAACAATTTTAATTATAAATCCACTAAAAATATCGAACTAAATACAAAATTCGTAACGTTTGTTTTTCATAATTCAATTTAATATTTATTTTATTAACTAAAAGTTAAGTAAATATTGGCCCTCAGATTAATGACCTGGATGAGCCTGCCGACTCTTGCGCAGCTGGGCTATTAAGCTTAAGTCCGAGATTGGTCATAAAGTGGATTTCAGTCCTTCATTTTTACTTCAATTAACGATAAATATCCTTTCTTAACCAGATACGTAGAAGCAAATTGAATTTAATTTTAAAGCACCATTATATAGTTCACTATATTCCATTTTCGGTGGTAATGAGGTCCAGGAACCGCATCGTCTGCTTGTAGTCTATTTTAAGTCCGGTGTCATTATAGAGTTCAATTAACTATCCCCTTTCATTCAATGGCAGTTTGCTAGCTTCCAAATTACAATTAAAAGGGTCAAGCATCATGATAATTCATTATATTAACCAAATGGAAAATAAATTTCAAATTGTAACCTCAAAGTTTCGATATATGAACATATGTCATTCATAATTCTTTTCCAATAAAGATATAATTTTTTACTAAAAATATTGTAAGGATTGAAATGGTGAAGTATTCTCCGTTTTATCCGTAACTTTAAAAAGTTCGAGTGGTCTACATACTATAAATTGTTTTAGGTAATGAGTTTTTTTATCGGAAAGCTCAAGTAAGAGGAGAATAAATAAAGATGAATTAAAAGAGATTATAGCGTAATTATTTTATTATGTAATTACTATTCAATTTTTCTTGACCTAACTTATATTGAAGCCTGCTATAATCTAAATCGCCTTGTTAAGCCCATTGTGTGAAAACTTTATTTTTTCAGAATATTTATCCTTTATTTCCTTTTCTTACTCGAATGTAGTTATGCAAGATGGAAGCACACGAACAAAAAGGTTTTGGTGTGAGCTAATTTCAGTTCACAATTAATACGTTATCAGCGCTACACAGGCCATGAAAAATGGAATGATGTAGAAATGACTCAATCCACAGAAGTTATTACGATTTTTATAACAGAGAGGAAGAATAAAAGAGTTACCGTTAGTTTAAATTACATTTCTAGCATTTATATTGTAAGATAAAAAATATGTAATTTTTTATTTATATATTTTTATCTTACATATATATAAATTCTAGAAAGCCCGGCGGTCATACGAAATGACCGCTGTTCTAGATATTATAAATTGTAATTAAAATGATTTGTGCAAAGGTCTCTGCTAATTCAAACTGAATTACCCAAGGCAGGCGGCGAGGACGCCCCTTTGTTTAGTGCCCCACGGGGTTTCCCCTTCTACTTGCTTAATTGCTTAAAGAGAAAAATGCAATGAAGAAACCACTGGCGGTACATTTCTTAAGAGCCACCGCTAGCTCAATAAATAAAGGTGATTTAAAAAATAAAATGTTAATTCACGTGTCAAAGATTTCTTTTTGCACAACATTTTTTGTGTAGATCTTTCCATCATTTTTAAGCTCGCTTTGAAGAGGACCATCCATTTTTTTTTAAATTTTACGTCCGTTCTTTCACGAACTCTTGAACAGGCAATATAAAGTTGACCGTGTCCAAATGCAGGCTCAGGTAAAAAAATGCCAACACGCTTAAGCGTTTGGCCCTGAGATTTATGGATGGTCATAGCAAAGGCAAGTTTTACAGGAAATTGTTTGCGTCTCAATTGAAACGGCAACCCTGTGCCGTGGTAACTTCACTCCATTGGCTAGTACAGTTACGCAAGCAACCAATAAACTATCGGCGACAAACAGACACTTAAGCCACATATAATAAAGATATTTATCTCATTTTATTTGTTTTTTCATCATTGCCGGTTTTTGCCGGTTGCATATTTCTGAATTCTATTATATATAGATGTTTAATTTATTTATTAAATGTTAAATGCATTTAATAAATAAATCTCTTGTATTTTTAAAGCGTACACTGTTTTCTTTCTATTAAGATTTAATTCCAAG